GAAAGATTTGTATGTTCTGTTTTAAATTTGAGTTTAAATTCCGAAGAGCAGCTTACTTACGCCAACATTCCAGCTTAATTGAAATTGAGAATATAAAGGATTTACCAAAAAAAAAATTAAACCAATAAAGCTTTAAAATTTGGCAATTCCGTTACATAAGTGCGTTTTACCAGTCTATTTCGAGATAAATAATTTCAATAGCTTATTTATGTGGATCACGGATTGTTCAGATTTGACTGGCTGGAAACGGAAATAAAGGAGAAAGAGAAGAATGAGGAACTTTTTCATAGGTTAGGCTCAAATCTGACTCTTTCTCAGAAGATTATCTTTACCTCAATTACCTTTACTTGATCAGAATCAATTTCAATGTTGAAAAGCAATGGATGGCATAGCTAATTATTCGAAATTTGTCAGATTCATCCTTCCTAATTTATGCTTCCCTAAAATAGCTTCCAACATTAAAAATCAGTTGGATATCCCGTGCATTATATCTTCAATATTATTGATTTTAATTGGCAAATTGTTAGCAGCAATTTACCAAAGTGAAATAGAGAGCAATTTATTTACAGCATGCAACCTATTAGCAGCAAGCGGTTACAATTGCATAGTAATAATAACATATTTTAGGGATACATGGGCGAAAATGCATACAAACTCGGTGGTAAAACAACTAGCCACAGGCTGAAACTAAGATTCCGAATCTTGAATCCAACATCATTCTTGGAACTCATTCACTAAAATTGGTTCGATTTCTTTTGGGGTAACTTTTGATTTCCAATCTGCAAATTTAAGAAAGACTTATCAGTGAAACAGTTATTGCTATCATATAAGTCAGTTCAGGAAAAACTATTCACATAAAGCCGTAAATTTCCGGATTCAAGTAATAATTTGTGAAAAAAAGTTGATAGCATTAACACACCCCATCTATCCAGCTATAACTAATGAAAACACGCCTCTAATAAGGAAAACAAGGGGACGAGATAAAGGAGAAGGAGGAGTGAGACGGAAGAAAAAAAAGCAAAATCGTCCTCATAAAATCAATTCCAATTTTCTAACGCACAATTCTAACCCGGTTGGGAAAAACTTTTTAAAGACATATTCAATTCCAGTAGCGTTTCCTGCTATTTCAATCAATTCCTTCATTTTCCTGCTGGTTCAATTCATTGCTATTATCTTTTCTACTGATTGCGATTGTGGTGAGGAGAACTTAACCTGAAGAATGGGCTTCAATGTACCAATCATCAATCGTGATAGCGATTGGTGTCGTGAATGGTTGGATCAAAGAATCAAAGAGCCGCATATACAAAAAAAGCTGGTGCTTATGATTGTTTCTATTGCTTTGCTGCTCGACAATATGCTCTATATGGTGATTGTGCCGATAATTCCCAAATACCTCCGGGATATTCATGCCTATGATGTGCAGTTCGTTGGGTACCATAACGAAACGAAGAAGTTGAAAAACGGTACCGTCATTGTTCGTATGACCGGTGGTGAAATTGACTATATGAATGAGGATATTGGACTTGGGTGGCTATTTGCATCGAAAGCTCTTATTCAAATTTTTGTTAATCCATTTTCTGGGTATATCATCGATCGAATTGGCTATGAATTCCCGATGGTTATCGGTTTATGCGTAATGTTCAGTTCAACAGCTATTTTCGCACTGGGTCGAAGCTATGGCGTCTTGTTTTTCGCCAGATCATTACAAGTAAGTTAACATTCTTTTTTTTACTAACTTTATTATTTGAGAATTCATATAATTTGGAGAGATGGCATATTCTGCTTTTGAGTTCGAAAATGTAAATAAGAGCAAAAGACGTGAAATAATTCGATAAAGTGTTAATTTGCTAATCTACCAGATGTAGTTATTTGAACAACCAGTTTTAGGGATTTGGTTCCGCATTTGCTGATACTTCCGGTCTTGCGATGATTGCTGACCGTTTTACAGAAGAAAACGAACGATCAGCAGCACTTGGTATTGCTCTGGCATTCATATCATTCGGTAGCTTGGTGGCACCGCCTTACGGTTCTGTCCTCTATTCACTAGCCGGAAAGCCGATACCATTCCTAATTTTATCCATGATATGTCTTTTTGATGGATTCATGGTTTTCATGGTCATTCAACCAAAAACCAACAATAAACAAGTGAATACAGCCGGTGAACGTGTGCAGGGTACACCAATGTGGCGTCTATTTATGGACAAGTACATTGCCATCTGTTCAGGTGCCCTTATAATGGCAAACATTAGTTTGGCATTCTTGGAACCAACGATCACAACGTGGATGACCAGCGCTATCCCAAACACTCCGGCATGGATGGTTGGTATCATATGGTTCCCACCATTCTTTCCGCATGTTCTCGGTGTTTATGTCACAGTCCGTCTTATGCACCGTTATCCACAAAAAGAGTGGCTTTTAGCGGCGATTGGCCTAGGCATGGAAGGCTTGAGTTGTTTTGTTATACCATTCACCAACTCCGTCCTCCAACTGATCCTGCCCTTATCAACACTCTGTTTTGGAATTGCGCTGATCGACACATCGCTGCTACCAATGCTCGGATACTTGGTTGACACACGTCATGTCAGCGTTTATGGTAGTGTCTACGCCATTGCTGATATCTCCTACAGTTTGGCATATGCATTTGGGCCAATTATTGCTGGAGAAATTGTCGCAACGATGGGTTTTCTGGCTCTAAATATTATTATTTGCTTTCTGAATTTGGCTTATACACCGGTATTATCAATTTTGAGACAAGTCTATATATACCAGCCATTTGAAGAGAAACAACAGCAACAAAAAGAACAACAGCAACAAGCACTATTTGGTACCAGCAGCAGCGGTAATAATGGTGCTACTGAACAAAGTTTCGATATTCCGCAACAGCGGGGTTATGGTGCCATCCAACAACAACGTGACGAACTGGAGAGTCAGTGGAATCTATCGGAATATCCTGCTGCTTACAAATCGGGTGATCCATTAAATGTGCAGTGGTAACGGAGGACTTCATTCAGTGGATAGGATATTAAACTAATATTTCATCAATTACTGCTATTACTGCTACCATTATTGTTACTGTTATCCATTGCTACATATATAAAATGCTATTTTCATGATTAAACTCTGATTTGCTTTGTCGAAATTACTCCCTTGTTGCCCCCTCTCAATGATGGTGGTAGTAACTTAAAATAATCTTCAAGCTGTGATCTCATTTCTCTGTTACTATGCTTGTCCATGTTGCTGATGTGCGGTAGTTTTAGTTGTATATGCAAGAATAATTTTGTTTGTGTAATTGAATGAAATATAAATTTGCTTATGATAGGAGCCAGAAGATTCCAACAATTTAAGAACATTCAGCAGAAAGGAAATTAATGAAATGAAAAGACGGAAATAAGGAAGGAACTGTGAGATGATCGATGAAGCTGAGAATAAGATGATCGCACATTAAGGTAATAGTCAGTCATGATGACATGTCACAAAGTGCTGATGCCATCAGTTCTCCTCTGTTCATCACACTCCAATATCTTTATAGCGAATTGGTAACGAAAATATTTGAATATTACACAGTTCGCTTCAATAAGCTAGAAATTTGAAAATTTCTAAACACTATTTGATCGAAACAGAGCTAATCACTTCCAACAATACGTCTTACTCGGAATTTTGGGCTTTTACTTCAGAAAATTAATTTAAGAACGATTTCAAGAAACGATCATATTTGTGAAAACATAAATTTGTGAACATAATGACTAATGACTTAATGACTTCCTCAGTTAACTTTGTGCCTCATATTTAGTTTTTAAAATTTAACTGGCATTGATTAACGGAAAGAATGTCAATGTATTTAGAGCTTTTATCAGAATTGCTGTGGAGTAAGATCGTCATTCGAAGTAATGCTTAAATTATATTAAATTTCTTCCAGCTTTGTACGTGGGTAAAAGTAATGAGAGAAATCATTCAATTAAAGCTTGATTCGCTTTAGTCTTGGCTTTTTTAAAGATTCAGATGCACTGAAATTTGCACAACAATATTTCCACCTCGAAATTCCTTTGGCGTCGTAATGTATTTAAACTTTTTTACATCTTCCTCTGCTTATTTGTGCAATAATAGAAAATTTTATGCAAGTTGCAGAAACCTAGAAATAAATATATTGATTTAAACTACTACATCTGTTTGGATAAATTTAAATTAAATTAAAGTTTAAGTTAAACTTTGCAAACTTAACCTAAATTTGAATCAGTCAAAACACTCAACAGTCAACAATTACGAGTAAAACTGGTACAAACAGGATGGTCAAATGATCGTTTGTTACAAATAATTATCATGCAGTGAAAAGAAATGTTTGGTTGCGAGAGAAAAAAGAAGACTGATTGATTTGTTGGATAAAGACAAGAATTTGGTTCGTAGTCCAATAAATAGTGATAGCAAATTTAGTAACAATCTAATTAGTGAAATGATTGTTTTTTCTATTTGCGTACGACAAAAATGTCGTACCAATCAGCAATAGTGTTCTAGTGAGCCAAAAGTAACTAACCTTGCAATATTTTCAACCAAACCTTTTGGGCTTGTTCTAATTTTGAACTTCTGGATTTTGCTTCTTGGAGTTCAAGTTTCGATTCTGGATTAACTCTTTAAATTTAAGCTTTTGACATAATGAACTGTATGCAGCTGTTTTTGATTGCTGTTGCAGTTCAAAGCAAGCAATAAAAATGAACTGATGAATTCATGGATTTTGAATAAATTCTGGATTGGAAACTTTAAATTTTGAAATATACCGACAATTTGGAATGCTTGTTTTCCAAACTATTTCCAAAATTCAACAGAAATTCATGGACATGCCTAGGTTGGCATAAAAAAAATATGCGTTTTTTATAAATTTAAAGAAATCTGAGAAATTTCATTTTGTTTTAATCAATGGCCATTATATGTTAATGACAGCCATTTGATAGATTATTGGAAAATTTTCACCGCAATTAAATGTCACCAAGTTGCAGCATTGATCGGCAATGAGTGATAGAACATGTACCACTAATAAACAAAATTCGACAAACGATTGGTATGAGGTAAGTTCTATTCCCTTCCCTCTCTTTTTTCCATTGATTTCTTTTGTCAATTTAGAAATTGCGGAGAAAAAAATTGTCTTTCAATCATTATTTATATGCTTCAAATAATCCAAATCAAAATGAATTTCCAAAAACGTTAAATGAAACACACGAATTAACACTCAAATTATCTTAGCAGTAAAAATCAATACCAATAGCTATATTATAAAAAAGGTGACATTTATATCTAATTCAAAACTCAGCGTCCTGTTTCATAGTTGATAATAAGAAAGAAAAGGTCGTAAAACTAGATTTGAAGTGTAAACACAACAGACAACTTGTAAAAATTGTGTTGCTTCTAACATTTTCACTATCGTTTATTTTGGACCATTGTGCACATTTGTTTTTAACTTTATTTAGCTAAAGCTGTTTAACTGTAAATTGATTGATTGATTGATTGATTTTTGCTGGGTTATCGAAATGGAGTTTTCAAAAAAAAAGTTTTCCATGAATTTGCAAAATGTTAAATAGTGATATGATATATGAAAGATGCTCTTCTGCTCAGTGTGACAATCAGTTAAGGAAAAGCTAATTGCATGAAAGTTTACATAAATCAAGAAGTATTAAATTATGAAATTAAGATTCTTATTTTTGCAAACAAAAAAATCTGAAATTCTGGCTTTTAGTTTCTGATACTATCAACGTAGTTATAAAATGAGAATTGCGGCCTATAAATTGGAAAGTATCCTGCAAATCAATAAAAGCCCAATGATAATATATGGAATACTTATCATTAGAGGCCAATCATGCAATAAATCCAGGAGTAACACAGTTTTAAAGATGACAATATGCGTTTGTTAGCTGATGTGAGAGAATTTTCATTAAAATTTGCTTGATGTATGGAAAATAGTTTTGATGACGAATTACCCATGGGAATGATAGAAAAGTAATTCGTAACTCTGATTTTGCCATTTAAAAATCTTTATGTGATGCCTAGTAAGTGAAATTCATTTACTTGATGCTATTTTTTTCAGTATTAAAATCTTTACTCACTGAAATTTATTCCAATATTTAATATCTCTTATTTCAATCTCATTTACATATTTAAGAACACAATTCAAAATAGATCTTTAAATTTTTTGAATCGGTTCCCAAGAATTCCGGAAGCAGGGGTTGTACTGTTTGTAATACGATCGCTGTTATTAATGAAGTTGGACAATGTTATTCGCACGATTTTCCGTTTGTTAAATTTCATTATTTTTGTATTTTTGAGTATATAAAACTGTGTTTCACTTTCCAATCGGAAAAAGCCTCCTTTTCTTTTAAATTATTGATTAAAAAAAGATAATATCTGGAATAAGAAATAAGAAAGCAATTAAGCGGAAATTGAGGGATTACGCGTGCATCAAGAAGTTTACAGGATAGTTAACGAAGAAAAGTTGTTTGTTGCATAATGAAAATGCTACTCATAAAAGCTTTTCAAAGTAAACATCGTCCGTTTCTATATTCATCTAACATATTTAAACTCTTGTATATCAATATTGAATTCAAGCAAGCAACAACAACTACTCATTCGCATGTTCCGAAGGCGAGTCCGGAGAATTTTACATATTTCTTGAAATTTTAATTTATACTTTCAAGTAAGAACACGAGACTTTGAGCTTTTAACTTGCAAATAAACAATCGTTCATCATTGCTAATAAAGTGCCGCAGGAGGTTCCTCTATCTTGCAAAACTATTGGATAAAGTCTTATAGCGAGCTGCCAATTCATTCAATTTTCCTTCATTATGTTTCTATTGATAAAGTGGAATAGGGCCTGTTTCTATTGATAAAGTGGAGTAGGACTTAGACTCTCATCATTGTCTCATGGGTTAAGCAACGTAGGTTAGCAGAAAAAAATTAATATCCGTTAAGAAATATCACAATTTTTTCAGGCTGCAACAATATTATTATACAAAAAAATGAATTTTGAAACCTAACAAAAACATTCTTTTTTTATTCTGAATTGCTATTTTCCAGAATTCTATTCCGAAGCCACCGGTACCTTCACTGGAACATACTCTCAAACGATACCTAGAATACGTATCAGTGGTGGTTAACAATGACCAAACGAAGCTATCACATATTGAAAAAGCAGTGGATGAATTTCGAAATATTGGCGCAAGACTACAAGAAAAACTTGAAAAAATAGCAAATGAAGAAGACAACTGGGTAAGTGTGAGGAAAAAATTTTTAAACATAGGATAAAAGTGTTGAGGAAATTCTTCGTCGCGGTAAATCTAACATTGTCTAATAACTTCTCGATTGTATTTTGGATTGTTAGAATCTCTGGTGCTAAAATAATCCATCAACTCCTTTGCACAATATTAGAAGAATAATTTGGAAAACTATATAGCTTATTTAGTACTTTTCTTTTTTCCTCAAAAATTTAAAACAATTCATTATTTTCTACATTTTTTAGATCAATCAATACTGGTTGCCAGAAATGTATTTGAAAGTAAGGCTTCCATTACCAGTGAATTCTAATCCAGCTTTTATCTTTCCACAGCAGAGTTTCAGCAATTTGGATGAACAGCTAAGGTAATTTTAGCAGCATCTGAAAATCTGACAATCAAAAGCGTTGTGGTTTTTAAATTTCAAATAAAAATTTTATTTTTGCCAACAAAATGCTATTATTTTTTTCAGCTACACATCTTGGCTTATTCGTGGATTTTGTGATTATAAAGATTTGATCGACAGGTATGGATAGTGTGTGTAATTTTTTCGAGATTTTCGGGGTTTTCCCAAAAGTGATTAGCTATGTTCATGAATGTCAGGAGTAATTTGAGACGGATAATGCTTACGTGGAAAAAACTATTCCCTAAAAAATTAGACTGAAACATAGATCAGTAATTGACACTGAGTAAAATATCTCTCATTATCAAACATAATGAATAATAATTACTTTATTTGATCGTCATTTTTAGACAAACTTTAGAAATCCAAAATATGTATTGGTTACCCAACGAAATGTTTCCATCTAGATGAGTTGTCGGAAATATAAGGACAGTTAGCATCAAAAGCAATATAATGGCTATTCCAATACTCTGCCAAATTTTTCTTGCCTGACTTGTCAACGGAACGAATAAAATTTTGCATGAACTTTAAAAATGTTCAATAATAATAACGATATAACAATCTATTGCAAAAAGAAAACTAATAATATTTTATTTATAAAGCAAATTTTTCAAAACCTGAACATTGCTTGAATTTCAACAGATTTCACTTCGCTTAAAAATGCCTAAGGAAATTGATGACGTTTGAATTTGAAGTCAGCTTGCTGAAAAAAAGATAAAGGAAAGCTTGCAGGAAGCTAATTTCTCGAGAGGTTTCAACAGGTCGCCATAAAGTACAAATGTGCATGGAACAATACGACCGAATGTTTCGCTGTTATCGTGAGCCAGGTATTCCGGTTGACATTCTGCATTACAAACCGATTATCGGTAACGGAAATGAAGGGATTAACTGCAAGGAGCATATACTTGTGATGTGCAATAATCAGGTAAACATTTATACAATAATTATTATTTTTTCATTATTAGATTACGAGAAAAATTGAAACACGGAAAGGGTGCAGAAACTACTGATTATATTTTCTGCAAAATTAGAACCTATTCAAGTTTTTTCTCATAATTCTTGATCCGAATAATTCATGTTATTTGCCCCAATTTAGGCATATAATTATTTTCTGGTATGAATATGCTTCTCGGCATTTTGGCCATTGCCGTATTTCTTTTCATTATAGTACGGAATAAATATTCAACTGTATGAATTCAGAAATCATTCAGTGCTAACATTTATATTATAATATATCCATATACAGACATTTATTGTATTCACTCGATATGATGGCGTTCTACTCTCACAAGCCGAAATATCGAAGCAATTGGAAAAGGTGGTTGAGATGAGCAGAATTAATAGCGACCAAACGATCGATACTATTATTGCTGGTGCTAGTGCAGGCGATCGTGATGATGCCGCTAAATTTTGGAACTTTATGAAGGAAGGTAATTATAAAAATGTTGAAATATGCAGGAAGCAGTAATATCAAGCTTGTTAAAATTATACATGTTTGCATATTTTTGCAAAAAATGCAAATTTTCATCCATTTTACTTTGGTTCATTTTGATCTGAAATAACGCACATTAAAATATACGCAGCTTTCAACTGGTATTATAAAGAATATTTAGATAAACAGAATCAGGAAGCATTAAATTGGATCAAATCCGCTTCATTTGGGGTTTGCATCGATATTAATAGCGAAATAAAATGGTCTGAGAACTATGAAAGTAATTTGGCATATCGTGGAATGCATTTATTACATGGTTTTGGCAGCAAGGCAAAGGGTTTAAATCGATGGTATGATATGAGCATACAGGTGAAAAAAGGAATGATTCAGTTAAAAATCTATTTCACTTTCGGAAGTATTCTTTACTTCACTTTGTTAGGACTCAAAAATGATCATTTAACTAATTACTCATAATTGGTTGTGTAATATAACATTCTAGAAACCTAATAACTAACATATTTTTAAATTTTAAAATTTCTTTTGAATTTTAGAAACTATCCAAATTATCTTTGAAAAAAAAAATTTAACAGATTGTTGTTGCGAATGACGGTACAAATGGGTTATGCATAGAACATTCGGTTGCAGAAGGAATTGTAATCATAAAGTTGGTCGAATATGTCATGCAATTTGTGGAACGGAACAATGGCCAACAAATAGTAATATCTTCCATATTTGCGCTTAATTCTTCGCTTTAGATTCAATTTCACTTTTTTGCAAAGCAATTTCATTTTCATAGCTGCTAGAATTTCTTAATGAGTGAATTGTTCCTTTGCTTCGTTGCATGCTTTGATTTGAAATATTTTCGACAAAGGAAATTTTTCAGTGGGATAATTCAAAGAACATAGTACCACTGCAACTTCACTGGACTCTATTACCAAATGCCAAACCATTTCTACAAAAACAAATTAAAATCTTGGACCAGTAAGTTTTCTTCTCTCACAGTCATAAACTTGATTTCAAAATGAATTTAAAATTCAAATTACTGATGTCTTATCGAATCTAGAAACAATTTTAGAATCTTCTGATCATAGGAAATAGTGTCTAGAGTTTATAATAATTTTTCTAATCTGATATATTTCTTAGTATTTCTTCCACTTTTTGTAGTTTGGCGAATGATTTGAACTTACAAGTGTTAATTTTTGATGGGTTTGGAAAAGAATTCATAAAATCGTGCAATATCAGCCCGGATGGTTTTGTTCAGTTGACGTTGCAGCTTGCTTATTACAGGTTTCTTCGACCGACTATTTCAGGAAGCTTCTTTCAGCCGAATATTCACATATTTTATTAATAAATATGTCGAAACTTTTTTTTTGCTTTATGATTTCATAAATAGAAGGTTTTCTGGGGAAGAATGTATAAATTCGAGAACAATATTACATTTTGCATGTAGATTACACGGACACTTAGTGTCAACATACGAAAGTGCGTCCATGAGGAGATTTCGTTACGGTCGTGTGGATAATATTCGTGCTGCAACACCAGAAGCGTTACGATGGGTACAAGCGATGTACGTGAAAAATAACACAAAAGTATGCACTTAAATTCAAAAACTGTTCTTCAGATTTCTTATTTCAAAAAATTTCAACACAATAAATTACATTTAAAAGATGATTGCGTTAATGTAACAACCCCTGCCGAATCAGTCGTTTGATTGAACGGCTGCCTACTTTTCTTGGAAACATAATTTTTTTAGTGCAGGAAGATAAATTGCAGGATGAGAAGCAAAAACTTTTTATGGAAGCAGTGAAAAAGCAAGCAGAAATTACACTTGAGGTATGCTATTTATTGAATTTACAAATTTAAGATAAAAGCGATGGCACAGAATATGTATTCTATCTGATGAATATGTATTGTGACCATAAAATTGATAGCATAATGAACCATACTGAACTTAGACTAAATTTTGCGATCATAAATTCTTAAAAATTTTGCAGAATGTAACCGGTCATGGTATCGATAATCATTTGTGTGCGCTTCATTCGCTTGCTAAGGGGGAAGTGGAAGAAGGTTTATTGCCAAAAATGCCAGAACTCTTTCTGGATCCTATATGGACAGAAACCATGCGATTTCCGCTGTCAACAAGCCAGGTTTATCAGTTACACTTGCTTATGTACAAATGTCTTTTTTGTGCAAATAATGTAGACGAGCAAAATTAACAATTTATTTTCTTGCTTCGTTACAGGTAACAACTTCTACTGCAATTAACGACACATACCTCTGCTATGGACCTGTCGTTAAAGATGGTTATGGATGTTCATATAACATTCAATCACGTTCAATCATCTTTGCGCCATCCTCATTTATAAGTTGCCCTGCTACAAATGCTGAACACTTCAAAAAATCATTGGTTGATTCACTGTATGATATTCAATCATTAATTACGCGGTAACTGATTACCACTGTTGATGGAAAACTTTTGATGAAAAATGAAACAATCTGTGATGGCATCTGTGATTTATTTCACATTTCATTATCAGAGAATGTTCTTTTTGTACTTTAAATGATCAAGCATTGAGAGAAATTTAGAATGATATAAAATTTGGTCTGAAAAAAGTCTTTAAAAAAACCATGAAATTCACCACTGTAATTAATTTAAAATAATTTGAAATTTCTAAAATGTTTTGGATGATTATATAGTTCTAAAATAAAATTGTCTAGTATTTAAAAAAATCAATTTTTTTGTCACTTATTTGATTGTTTAGTTTATGAAATTGAAGTAGAAAAAATGGTGTATTACTTATATTACTATTTGCCAAGCTCAATAGTTTGTAATGTTTGTTTCTTATGTATAGTGATTTTCTCCCCTCTAGAAATTATGAATTTCTTGGTTGAGTATTGTAAAGCTTAATTTAATCTTTATTATCTTAACAGATATATGTAAAGAATCTACATTGTTTTTGTTAAACAATAACCTTTTGTGAATATAATTTGCTCATGTAATTCAAAGAAATAGCCATTATGGCTGTTAAGTGCAAAACTTAGTATTTGTACAATTTTCTAGTTCTAAAGTTTCATTGTAGTTTGTATGTATTTAGATTGGCCATTGCTAGTTGTATTATAATCGATAGATGTATAAAAGCTTTCTGTATGATGGTATCAGTTAATTAGTTAATTAATCAATGGTGCAGTTAATATTGCCGTCTACTTGATAGCGTTGAATAAATAGCTTGACAAATTTTATAATAGTTACATCAAATTTTAAAATGGGAATTTTTTTTAGTGACGACCAGACAGTTCTGGTTAGTTTAGTCTTCATTAAGAGAGATGAAACAAGCACGTCTAAATAACCATGTAATCGAGGTGCTCTTAAAGACATTCTATGTCTATTTATAAACATTGATGAATTACCTTTCGGCATTTTTGTTTATCATTCATTTGCATCTAATATTAATCACATAGTCGAGTGGAAGCAATCGTTGTAACGAGTTCAAATTTCAAATTACTTGACGGCAATTGTTTTTCCTCGTCCATCACCTCTAATAACTTCATTTGCAGTAATTGGATTTCCGGAACACCGCCATCTTCTCTCATTTCTGAAATAGAATTCTATCTTATCAGCCAAACAAAAAGCTTAATTTATGTGATTTCCGCAATCAATGAAATGAATTTTAATGAGCCATATTAGACAACGTATCTTAGTTTACACACAATCTATTCGCCAAATTTCTGTACGAGTTAAGAAGCGTTAAGAGTCTACGGTCAGCTGAAAACTAGTGATTTTTATATCTTTCATTTATCTAATATCCATGGATTTACAATAACGATTCTACATATGAAAATGTATTACTTTTTGTCTCGTTGATCATTGGGGTAAGCGACAGGAGGAAATTTTTTTGTTTAATCGGTAGCAGTTTCAGCCACACTGGCAGAGGTGATGGGGTGTTGACTAAATGTTGTGAATCTGATATAATTGGAGATGATAAGAAAGCGTTTGGTGACGTAGTATTGACTACGGCCGCATTATGAATAGTAGGTTGAGGGGACAACAAATCGAAATTCAGCTTTTCTATTTCTGAATGATATTCGGGTTCACGATTTGAATCAAGTGAATAACGGTCATTATTGACGAACTTGCACTGTTCAGTGACGGGTGATGTTTCAAACTTCTGGCTTGATAAGCTGCTGAAGTCAGAGAATGACGTCCTATCACTCACATTATTGTTTGTTGCATTTTCAGCGAATGCCTTTGAGCTAGCAGTATTCAACAGAGCCTTCACATATGATGAGGTACTTCGGAGCTCCTTTTCCACTTCATCGATCATCACATTCACTTTCTGCATCGCTCTATCAAGTTTCCTCCAAGAATCCATTCTGTCAATATCTGATCTATCCTCGCATTTCAAATAGCGTGTGACCATTGGGAAAGAACGTGACGTGATTGTGAAAGGACGTTGAGTGTAAGATCGGATATCAAACGATGAATGATGGCATATCTTTGGTGCAAATTCTATTCTCGGCATGCGTTCCAATAAAGAAGCAGGAGTGCTCAGGGTGGTACCATAAACAAAATCAGAGGGACGTAACTTCAGATTCATTGCTAACAACCCTTCGTCAGCAACATGTGTCGGATAGGACCAACAATGTGATATATATTTCGCTCTTATCAATACCCCCTCTGGCACCTGCAATCAAATCGGTAACGTTTGTTGTCTGAAATTTATCTGAGGATATGATAAATATCATATTTGCTGTCATTACCAGAAAAAAACGCTGACATTTATGAAGAAGTAAAGAATTCTTGAATAGGACGATACACAACATAGACTGCGATCTTTCTATTTTCGTGCTACAAAAACTGTCTTATAGCAAACAGCAGAATTTGCAAAAATTTTAAATCAAAAATAAAATTGAAAAATTAACTGTAACACCTTTGTCCTAACTGCATTTATTTGCAGATCTTGCTGCATTTCCTTTCTGCTTATACCTTCTTGAAGTATCTGTAATAATATATCAATGAGTGTAGTTGATTAAAACGAATTTTAGGAGATGTTGCTCTACGATCTTGTCTAAATATAAATTTCGAGTTTTATCAATCAAAATTTCTAACTAAATAAAAAATTCAGTGGCAGAATTCATCACTAATAATTAACAAAATTAATGAACCACTTCTTTGAGTAAATGATTTCGCCAACAAGTAATATTTTCAGGACAAAATTCATTCATGTGCGCAAATGGCGAACGAAAAGTAGATAAATAGTCAAACAAATGATTTAACTGTTCAAAATCACTCTGATCAGCTTCCTTCATCCATCTGAAATTCGAGAAGAATTATAATAGTATTAGTGAAAGATATGTGTATGGTACGAAAGCAAAACGAGGATAACTACCTCTTAAAACCTATTTTTAATTAAATTTTAATACTAAATAATGGAGTTACAAGACTTAGACCGGATGTTGAATTGACGGCTGAAGGTAATGACAAAGTGGTGACACGATGTTCTCCTATAATTACGTCTTATGACCTTTTCCGTTTTCTTTTCCCTTTGCTTCGCTCATTTTCTCTTCTTTGTTTATCTTTCTGTATGAAATACGGACCAACTCTTACAAATTTTAAGTTAAATATTGCAAACTGAAGCTTCGAATGCATTATACAAATGATGTACAGTCCGTCATTGTGATAAATGTTAAAGTGAGAGCAGAAAAAAGTAGCAGAGTCATGTAAGTATCGAGATTGTTTAATGAACAATGAAAAACTTAGGAGTAAGGTTTAAAAGTATGGAAATGATATACAATTATTTAATTGATCATACCTAACTAATAAACTATCGTCATCGTTCTCTTCTCCTCCATTCAGTAAGTTGTAGTACTTCGTAGTTGCTTGTTTCATTTGATTCTGAAAAAAACGAAAAGTAGTTATAAAGCAATTACAAAACCAATGAATACAACGAATTATGCCTAAATGATTTCATGATAATATTAATTAGTTCTAGAAATTTTGATTTTCTTACGCTAGAAACGAGGCCATGCCGGTGTTCTATCGAGGCAGCATCACGTGTTATAAGGCGCAGTATAATGAGAATAAATTTCAAAAAACCATGGATCCAAAAAGAAATTGATTTTGATCGAGATTTTTCACGACAATTGCTCCTCGGAAATTTCCTGTCAAAATACTACACCACGAACGTTTTCATATATTGCATATTCCAAAATACTGACAACAGCAGTTTCATTTAAATCATTTAAACTTATTAGAAATGACACTTTCTTAATTCAAGGACATAGAGTGAAGAATGTACTCTATAAATTAAGAGGGCACGTAAGGTTATAAAATATCCAAAATTTAACAAAAGTTTAATCAACACATATGGAAAAAATTTCAAAGTTGAAGGAATAATAATCTTTAAAAGACTAATTAACGTTAGAGTTATTTAGTTATTATTATTTCAACTGATAAATAATGTTAGGACAAAAATTCAAGTCATCAATTTTCCCTCAATAATAAAGCAAATCTTTTACTTCACACTTGCTGTTTATTTCCAAGAATTTCAAACAAAAATATTCCATGCAAATGAGTAGTACGTTGGCGTCGCATAGCAAGCGTATGTAAGCTTGGATAAGAATCCATAAACGGACATAGCAATACTGCTCTTCGCCGAAACCGAGAACAGTTGTACACATGTAGACAGGCGGACGCGGTAGCTGCAAAAATTTAACGTCAAATTCAAAGTAAATTGACGTTCATTTGTATATTGAAGGAAATCTATTAGTAAGCCATATTTTTAGTCCTAAATTCTAGTTTCAGATTATGTATTGGAAATTTCTTCTCAAATAACCTACTGATATATTAGCATCCACAAATAAAGGCATCATCTCGTGTATATTACACATTTTGGTCAATATTCGATCGATTAGCAAATTCACCGCCCGTGTCTCCGCGATCGCATCCATTTGAAGCAATGAATCGGCTAATTTACCCCATGAAAACTGCATATTTTGCATGCTTCCATATTCTGTTATCTCTTCTAAGCTATCAAGTTCGTTGAAAGCCATTTCAATGCGCCCTTCACAAAACATTTGCAGAAGCTGAAGCCTGTAATAGTAAACAGAATTCTTTCCCTACCAGAAAAGTGATCAATGATAAGCGGAATTTCAAGTAATTAGAGCGCTTTGTTATTTTCAACAATTTTGAATTCCAATGGTTATTACCATTTCTTAGTTGATTTAGTAACATTATATGGTTCTCGCTATACGAACATTATATAATAGTGTTTGCACTATTAATTATGCATAAATAGTCATTGCGCGATTGGTGGTATTATGTAAATGAGTGGAGAGTTAAGTAGAGATTGATCTCAAAACAATATCTGTTTTCACAATATCTTCAGTGGCTTATAAAGTAATTTTCAGGGGTGATTATAGGAATATTGATGTAAATTTAAATGATATTCAACATGTAACCGTAAGTTTCATAACATCATCGCAAAGAATTTGAGTATTTAAATACCAAAATATTGGAGCGCTATAGAAAAAAGTTATCAAAGTGAAGAATATGTTTGCAAAATGTGTTGCTAGGATGAACCCTGATAATTGTTCCTCTAAGAAGCGTAGCATTGCTTGTGATTTAAGGTCACGAAATTGATCGCAATAATAAATAGCCTCAATATGATGACCACAAGCCCACAAAAGCACCGGTGGTGCACGCTCGTCGCATATAGTCGATATTGTTTTTGCAATGTCAACTCGCTTCAGCAGCACGGCTTCATCCAAATTAACGTCTGCAAAATTCATTGAAATGTCAATCTAATACGACAGTTAAAACTTCTGCAAAAGTGGAATAAATTTTTAAAACCTCAGTGAACAGTATATTTATATCCTTCCCACAGCTTGCAAAAATATTTCACATTTCCTTGATGAAAATTGATAACTACGAATTTATAGAAAATCTTAATTTCATGTAAAGCAATTGTTTAAAAAGTTGAAGTTAGTTTACCTGACAATGATTTTGGCCATTCATAAAGCGAAGGAAGTGAGCCTGGATTTTTTGGAATAAGTAAAGGGAAGTCAAGATAGTATGCTGCAATTAATCGAGCAAAATCAATTGATTGATCCGAAAATGGGTCTCTTCTAAAATTTTCCCACAAAGTTTTGAAATGAACAGGAATTGAAACATAAGTATTTTCAGGCATCGACATCAGAGACCATAATGTTTATATCTGAAAAAAAAAACGTTTTGAATTTTTATCAACTTCTCGCTTAAATAAATCGTAACAAATTAATGTATAACAAGTGATCTAAAATCTGAAACACGAAATCTCTACCATTTTCTTTGTCTCGTAGGGGAAAAAACAAATCAAAAGTCCGCATGCCTCAGATTAAATACTATTTCCACATTGTCACAGAACTGAAGAATATAAAAATTTACACAAAATAAATGGTAAATTTCAAAAAATGACAAAGAGCGATAACAGATAGGGGAAGAGAGTGGAAAACGCAACTGGACTGCAAACTGCATGCATGTGCATAGAGTAGCAGATAAGCAGCTTTAGCAGCTATTTACTTCATCTCTTAGCAACGAACTCTTCTGCTATTCCGATCCCATAAACCGTTTTTGCTATTGCTTTCTGCGCTAATCAGTTGTAACAGTTAAAATTATGAATAATTCATGTTAAGTTGCTAGCTGAAGCAGAAAAAAATTCGAACAAATTGAGGTGATAATATTAAGAATAATTGAAATTTCAGTTTATAATGAGTTCTACATTTCTTAAACAGAAATCGAATTGCGATAACAATAACGAAGCAGTTTTGTTTGGAACAAAATTTTAAATGGACATTAAATTATACGGTTAAGCTATTTTTCCATAAAAATTTGTGATGATGTGCTTTTTTATGCCTCTTAAATCTGTTTTTATGAAATTTGAAATTTTTTTCATTTTATAAGTTTATAATTTGACACATACCAAGTCTTATTACTCATGTGGGATTTGCATCAAAGTGCACAGCACTTGAAAATGGTCTACATACATAATACTGAAACTGTTATTGTTTCCATTTTCAACATTCTCTTCCATCGGTTTCTATCGATATTTAGCGAAATATATATGTTTTTTTCTTTTTTAAAAAGAAATTTTTATGAAAACTTAAGAAAATTCAAACATATTGGAGTTAAATGATGTCATGTGAAAGCATTTAGTTTTTGACCTGAAATTTGATGTTATTTCAGAAGTCACTTGTTGGTGAAAGTTTGATGAAAGTTGTATGATTTTTAGTTTGCTCATCGTTCCAAATAAAGCAATATTTTTGAACCAAAGGCATAAGCTATTATTATTATAAACACACAATAGATGGGTTACTTGGATGACCTTTCAAGATGACATTATTTAGCTAATATAAGTGTGTAATTGGTCACAGTTGGAGAGAAGATGGAAGAAAAGATAAATGGAGAGGATAGAGTGAGTATAAATATGATGATACGGATCAATTTACATTGAAAGCAACAACCGATAGCATGATATCTTCTTCTCATCCTCACATCAGTCCTCCTCTTGTCTCCATCAAGAAAAAACATCGTGATCGTCTTTTTTTGAGTGGCTTATCTACGGATAAAGCATATCGTAGACAAGATCTAACTGAGAAAAGATACGAGACAGATGAGGATGGAACAGAGCTGGTAGAAGTGGAAAATCTATATTGTAGTTTTCGATGAATTCCAATGAACAAGTTGAATGGGACTAGCTTCCAAGACGAATGCTCTCCAGTACTATCTTCAAGTACTTTTGAAGTGTCGTCAGCTCATCATTAATCTCGATATCTGCACTAATGTTCTTTTCATCGGATACAATCCAATCAGAAATAGTATCTTCAACAAGATATGATTTCTGCCAGATACCGTAGTGTGCAAATAATTCAATTATACATTTGTTGTTTAATTTGTCCTCATTTTCTTATGCCGTACTACTACTTTCACACACATGTCTATATTAATTTCAAAAAGATGACCGCATGAAAAAAACAGTTCTTAGCTGAAACAGTTTAACGTGACCATCTGGATTTACCGTTGATTTCTAATCTATACATCCATGCTTTCTTTAGATACCTTTTCATGAAAAATTTGCATTAACTTCAAAAGCAGTAAAAATGTTTAGTGTTTCAATTTCATTCAAAGAACAATAATCAAAAAAGAGAAGAAAACTGACTACTTTATGATCTATATACAGATTTTACACCTGAATAAAGCATTCTAGACGTGTTTCACTTTCATTTCCAAACTACATATTTAATTTGATACCTGTGCAAAATTCCATTAAGACAAATAGTTCAAACTGAGTCTAAAATATTTATGGCCTTGCATTTCTGTAAAAACAATTGATTGCCTATATGAGTCCGACAAACATAATAAAAATGTTAGAATTGTGATAAGCATCTATATCATATATCATATTATTGTATTTTTTGGAATCGATGAAAAAGATTGATTATTTATGATAAAAATGTATGCAAAGATATCGAATTCAGAAATGATAAAAGAATGATATTAACGCAGCAAAAACTATAGCATGCTGATAATAATGATGATTGAAAAAATATGGTGACAGTGACAGTAATAATTTCAATGAAATGATCGGGTTGCGAAGTAAAATGCCATGCTTTAATGATAAACAGAAGTTGGAACAGAATCTTAGTTTGAGCAAAAAAGCAACAGGCATT